TCTAACAATTGATATCAAATTTCAAAATACTTTTATTTTATAAATTTTAATTTTTGGCCTAAATTTGAATGTTTATGCATGTGGTCTAAATGAAAATGATATCTCTCTAGCAATTGATATCAAATTTTTAAAATTGCATAACATTTTTGGAAAATTTTATGCAAATGCACTTAATTTTAGCAATTGGTATTAATATCAAATTTCAACAATTGGTATTACATAAAGTATTTTAGACTTTGATATATTGAATTTCATGTGCTACAAATATGTTTGTTATTCTTTTTAGAAATTCAATATTTTGTTTAAGTGTCAAGATCTTAAAAGCTTAATTTTGTTTGGAATACATTTATTGAGGGGAGCTTTGATTTTTCAAATTATTTTTAAATGTAAAATTTACTACTTACTCTCCAAAGTTATTTTAAACTTCAAAGATCGAATTATTTTTGATATAACAAAAAAGGGGAGAAGTTTAGTTTGAAAAATTCAATTTCTTAATGAAAAAGGGGGAGCTTAACATTTTCATATGTTTTCCAACAACTAGTATCTTTTTCATTAAACATTTTATTAAGGGAGAGTTTTTGCCAAAAACAATTTTTCAAATGTTTTGTTATATCAAAAAGGGGGAGATTGTTGAACTATGTTTCGATATAACAATTTAAGGCAAAATGGTTTTTGGACTTGAATTGAATTTACAAAATGTATTTGGACTTAATTGAATTTATTCAAAATTTACAAAAATAATTCAAAGTTCTTTTAATTTAAAATTGAGCACAAAAATGTTTTTATGAATAGTAATTTACAAAAAGGTAAGTTTTACATGTACATGACATGCTTATATATATGTTATCGTGTAATAGATACATGAATGTTGAAATGTCATGTTCAAATGATAAGAATGCATACTCATGAATTGGTTGTTAAATGTTTATTTATTACCTCACTAAGTCTATGACTTAGCGTGTAAGTGATTTACACGTAGGTACCAAGAAACGAGAAGAGCAAGAATAGAAGTGGCAATGACAGTATTATTACTAGAAGATCAGATCAGAAGTAATCAACAAAGTATGTATTTTGGTGTGTATAGAGTGTTGGCATGTAATAAGTCGTTAATTACGAGTACTCTGATGGAGTTTATATTTTGTGGTCATTTTTATGTAAATTAACGTATTTTGCTTTAAACAAAGTTTTAAATTCCTCTGTTTTTCAAAAGAGTCAAAGTTTGAAAAGTCAATGTGACACCTCGGACTTGTATTCGAGTCGGGTACAGGTTGGGGTGTTACATTTACTGTGTAAGATCTATAAAGTTTTTATGTCTGCGCCGCGCAGACTACGCGTAAATATTGGGCTTCGCAGACCGTTTGTTTTTTAGAAGACAGAAGCTCTTCTAACGTCTACGTGTGGTCTGCGTGGCGCAGACGTGATTTTATGTCTGCAGACATATTCTAACTTCTTCAAAGAGGTTTTTATATTTGATTTTATATTATATTTGATTTTAATTTTAATATTATTTTTTTAAATAAATTAAATATTAATTTTTAATATTATATTATAGATATTAATTTTAATATTAATTTTTAAATAAATTAAATATTAATTTTTAAAATAAAATAAATATTAATTTTTTAATATTATATTATAGATATTTAATTTTATATAATATAAATTATTTTATATATTATTAAAATTTTATATTTATTTTAATTATTTTGATTTAAGTTTAAATATATTTTTTTGGATTTGTTATTTTTAAATTATATTTAAACTTTTTATACAAATGTAAGTATTTAAACCACATTGCTTATAAAAAATGATTTCATTGTTTGATAATTAAGATTTTAAAATATAAAAATTATAAATTATGTTTTTAAAAATTTAAAATATAATCACAAAATAAAAAATAATCATAAAATAATTTGATAAATTAAAAATATTTTCTAAAATATCATATAATTATAAAAATAAATTTGAATATATATTTAAAAAAATTAAAATTATTACATAATTGTATATTTTAAAAAATCATATAATTTAATGATCATTATAAATTTTATTCTATAAAACTTATAAAACTAATAACACATGTGATTATGTGAGACTTATAATAGAATTAATAAGGTGATGTTTGTTTTTCTAAAAAATTATTATTATAGTTGTATGAATTATTTAAATTTCAGTATTGTAAACTAAAATTATTTAAACCTCAGTATTTCAAAACTCTTTTATGTATAGAACCTTTCAAATATCATTTTTAAGCTTAGGATAAATTTTCACAAATTTTCTCTAATTAATTTCTTAGAGCCGAATATCATAGTGGTTAGGGTTTTTGTTTTTCACTCAATTCAAGCATGGATTCCACATCTAAACAACATTTTAAGGCTTCTACAATCAAAGCCCTAACATAATTTAACCAAGTCACAATTTTCTCAAAACCCTAGGTATGACTAAATGAAATTTCACCCAATTTCAAGTAATCATACAAGCTTTAGAATTAATTTCCAGCATCAAAAACATAAAAATATTTCATCAAATCCTCAAAATCAACAAATCCTACATAAACCCTAATTTCCAAACCAATCATATAAGCATGATCTCCATCTAATATTTATACCGAATGATAGAGAATTTAAAGGGGATTGATTTTCTATCTAATAGCTTAATCAAAAAATCAATCGAATAAGCTTTAAAAAAATCTTACCTTGTAGGTATGGTGGTGCACGTTTTGGGGCTGGAAGAAACTGAAAATTTCTGATTTTTCTTCAATTAAAACATAATACACTTGGTTTAATCTAAGGTAAATGAATTTAAAATTCATTTAATGTGAAATTATCATTTTACCCAAACATGATAATTTCAACTTGTCATTGCATTATCATCCCTTTTAATATTTCAAATTAAAATATGAACAAATAAAAATCAACTTTTCATCTTTTCCCTTGGAAATTTTAAAAAACTGCATTTTAGTCACTAAATTTTTCAATTTCTGCTAAATATGTAAAACCGACTTCAATTCCACTGATCCACATTAAATTTCATTGTTCTAAAATTTGGAAATAATATTTCAAACCTTTATCTATCATCCTACAAATTTTCGTAAAATTCTGGTTCGATCCGACTATTCGATTTTCTTTCAGACTTTACTCTTTATAACTTTTAACACAAATTTCGGATCAAAATTGTAATAAGAAGACTCAAACCTAGGACTATTAATGATTATAAAATCACTTGAATTATTAAAGAAAATATGATTATTTAACTGTATAGAATACATTATATATATATATATATATATATATTTAAAGTGTAGTTCTTATAAGATTTAAAATAAAAATAAATTTAATATTTTTAAATAAATTTAATATATTTTCCACTTTCTCCATTCCTTATATGTAGTTCTAGAATTTTCCTTTAGAAAAAAATCAAATTCTTTTTGCGCAGGAAATCTCAAGAAAACCATTTCCACGATATATCCACTGCTTTAACGAGGAATAAAACCATGGAAGTACATGTATGGAGTCAAGAAAGTGGAGACAAAAATATATATTAAATTTACTTTTATTTTAAATCTTATATTAATTATATTTTTAAATATATATAAATTCTGTTCAATTATAATTTAATAATAGGCTTTCTTTAATAATTTAGGTGTTTTATATTCCGCAAAAGATCTAAGTTCGAGTCCTTTTATTATTATTTTTATTTTCATTTTTCTGCTATTACTTTTGATATAAGATTAATATTTTATGTTGTTAGCTTATTATCAAATGGGATGTTGGCGCGGTGGTAGAAGCAAATGTAATTAGGGGTATACAGATTAGGATATCGGTTTCAAAATTTTAGATTTTCGAAATTTTTGAATACTTAAAATAGTGAATATATATATATATATTATTTTAATTATTCACATACAATAAACAATTAAACATCATAATTTTTATTAGATTAGAGCTTTAATAGGTAAGTGTGTTACTCATTTATTGGACTAAAGGATATATAAAATCTAAAAGTAAAGTTTTATTCTTCGGATTTTTAGATAATTCGAAATTAGAATTTATCTTATATGTATCTAATCTAATTATCTAAAAAATTAGATATCCAAAAATAAAAAACAGATAAAATATTTAAATTTTTAGATTAAATTATCGAATCAACAGATCTAATCGATCTGATAGGATCTTTTTGCACATCCCAACAGGAAACTCCTCCTTTAGTTTTAGGATTGATTCCCTATAATAGCTTTTCCTTTTTGTTTATATTTTTCTTTCACCAAATGGTAACTCGTCACCATCTGGTTGGGAAAAAAATATTTAAATTAAATATAAAGAAGTCTTTAAATTGTGTCATGACATATGTTGTCATATGATTAGAGGATTAAATAAATTAAATTAAATTAAAATTATGATAAAATTGATAGAATGTATAAATAATAAGAGTTAAAGTGTAATAATACCAATTTGTAATTGTCACGTCAACCCTTCTATTAAATATTACGGTGAGTGGCTTAATTGAATGAATTTAAAAAATTTAAGTGACTTGATTGATAAAAAATAAAAAAAAATACTCAAAATGAAAAGTGGTAATAGTTAAGTGGTCTATGGTATAGTTTATAAATAAAAAACCCAAATTAAAGGAAAAGGAGTTCCTGCTTTAATGCGTCTCTTTATGCCAACACTCGTTTGGTCCTCTCTCTGCTTCTGCAAGAACTTTGGGTCAAAATCATTGAGACATACAGGAAATACAACACTTAAACAAGAAGAAAAGAATTTTTGACAATTTACTAAAATTACCCTCATAAATGGAATAACTTGGGGTTGGGTGAAAAATACAGAAATTCTTTTCCATAATGACTTAATATTCCCGGTTTCTATGCTTTCTCTCTCGTCATTGGCCATTTTGCTCTGCAATTCTTTACTTATTCCCATTAATGATGTCTCTCTCTCTCTTTCATAGCTTCTATGCTGCATAAGGTATTCAATTGTTTGATTTCTTAAGTTTCTTTGTTGTTGCATTTTATGAAGTCATTCAAAGGATAAGAACGTAAACATTCCAAGGTTTTATGCATTAAATTAAGAATTTTAGTTTTACACAACGTAGAAGTGATGATGATATAGCTGCAAAAGTTTCCCGATGGAAAATCAGTTTTTTCCCTCGAGAAATGGCAGTAACATCAAATCATCAGTTTTCAAGAAAAGAAAACCCAACGTCGCATCACAGGCCATAAACTCGCATTAAAAAATCCACAAAATCTTGTTCTTCTCAGGCGGGCTTCCCTTGGCTCTCTGTTTGCTGGAACTGTGTGTAAAGAAGAAGAATAAGAAGAATAGGAGAAGGTTTAATGGGTCAAATAATATCTTTCATTCAAAAACGTTTGTTGAGTCTATTTTTCAAATCCGTTGGTAGATGTTCGAGTCGTCAAAGTGAGGAGATATCAGAATCAGATGGTTTAGAGGACCCAAATGAGGAGTATACTTTGTATTCTTCCAGTGACGGTGACAGTGACCAAGGTTCTGGCTTTAGATTCCATCAAAACGTGGGCACTACTTGCACTGATATTGTGGAAGAGAACAGGCATGGTCCTTCACCATGTGTTTTGAACGTGGAGAATTTGGAAGAAAGACAACTAGTTCTTGCCCCCGAAAAATGGATACGCCATTATAGCAGTTCTCAAAGGATGTTGCTTGTTGGTGAAGGCGATTTTTCTTTCTCTGTTTGTTTGGCACGTGCTTTTGGTTCTGCAACAAACATGGTAGCCACTTCCCTCGACTCTAGAGGTAAGAACTGAATTTTTTTTTTTTGAATCTTAAGTAGTAAGACTCATGTTTGAAGATGGAGTTGTGTGGATTTTGCAGGATTCTTGTTGAGAAATTATAAAAAGGCCATGGCAAACATCTATGAACTAAGAACCAGAGGGTGCATGGTTTTGCACGGTATAGACGCAACCGAAATGGCGAACCATTGCTACCTTGGAGCCATTAAATTCGATCGAATCATTTACAACTTTCCCCACGCAGGTTTTTGTTCAGATGTACCATCCGAATCCCAGAAACGGTAAGCCAAAAAAACCTTTTTGCACTAACTCGTCTATAAAAATCTCACCTTTTTCCCCATTTTTCCTTTTGCAGTCGGCATCAGTTGCTGGTGAGCTGTTTTTTCAAGAACGCCAAGGAGATGATAAACGAGAGTGGCGAAATCCATGTGACCCACAAATCAAATGGCTTCTTTCTGGAGTGGAATTTGCGAGGGCTGGCGGCCGCCGTGGGGCTAAGGCTTATACAAGAGGTGCCGTTCAAATTGACCGATTTCCCAGGGTACCGGACCAAGTACGGGTTCGGTGGTGACATGAATTTCTACTGTCATCCTAGCAAAACTTACATGTTTGGTTTATTTCCAACTATATCGCCATGAAAGTCTACTGTACTGTTAAATGATAGTAACTTGCAGTTGCTTTGTTCATAGGAAGTAGTAATATTTACCATGAAAACATTATGTTGAAGCTAAATATCATGAAATGAAGTTGCTTATTGTAAAGCTCAACGTCGTCAAAACAACATTAATTTAAAGATTTGGACAGTAACCTTAAAACCCAAAATCTTTCAAGTACAACACTCATCAATGTTGGGATCCAAATGAGCAAATGTTTCACTTGCAAGCAGACGTGCAAAAATGCGTTTTTCATTCACCGAAATTATAACGGATTATGGAAGGCGCGGGTTTTATATTTACTTGTCAGACGTTTGATTCTCTTCTCCCGACGACCTTCATTTCATCTCCTTCAACTGCATCTGCATTTGAGCAATGATTCTTAAGAACTACAGATATGTCAGCTTCAGAAACACCGGCAAGCTTGAAGTTTTCAACGGTGGTATCGAGATTCTTTTTCCAACCATCCATTCCTAGTTTGCATTCAAGTTGAGATCGTTCAAAGAGCATGTTGCCCCAGAAAAAGATGTATTTGTGATCTCATCACAGCTGCTTGTTCAGCTATTTCCTCTGCGAAAGCTCACCCTGATTTACGGTTCCGGTATCTCATTTTCTGCAGAACTTTCGGGTTTCTTCATTCTCTTTGACAGCTCTTCCTTCTTGCTTGAATTTGGATCTGTCAACTCATTAAGTCTCTGCTGCTCCAACTACTCCCACATTTTTGTTGCGTGTTTCATCTTCTACTCCGCACGGTCGAAAAGTTGAAATGTTTCTGCAGGATCCCAGGTCGAGGGGTCTATTTTCTTTGCAAGTGCGAAAGACCAATAAAGTTTGGCCATTTCGAATTGCTGCTGTCCAAATGCCAGCATCCCTTCGTAAAAGTCAGGTTTGATTAAGATTGCTTATACTTCTCTTTGGCCAAAGAATACTTTTCCGAACCCAATCGTAGGCCGTTTGAAGTTTTTCCGACACTAACTCCTTCCCTGCAGACTCATCTAACGGAATCCATTTCCTTATGGCACACATATAAACGTTTCCCCAATTAAAGAAAGCCAATGCAGCTACCTCCTGGAACTTGGCAGCAGCTTTATCGAAGAGGATTTGAGCTTCCTCGCTCGTAACAGTCTCCTCTAGAGCCTCTGAGCAGTGCTCCATTCCAAGCTCAAGCAAATCAATATAAGCATTGGGATCGATACCAGCATGGTTGCAGAAAAGCTGAGCAAACTCAAACAGACAAGCATCCATCTCCACTTCCTTGCACTCTGGATCCTCGGAAGCAGCCATTGTTTTTCCCTTTGAAGCTTCTTTCTCTGTCTTTTCAATATCCGTATCAACACCTTCCAAAGCAGATTCACCAAAGGACGAGTGCGCCAAACTTTCATCCAGACTTAGTTACCTGGCTCTCCAAAGGCTTGACATCCTCTTCTTCTGGTCCGGGCTCACGTCAACAATGTGCAATCTCAATATCCCAGATCCACTGGCTTTATCTGCTTCAGACTCTACTGGAACGAGGCATCTACAAAAGACTCGGCCAATCTGAGTTCTGTCGTGCATGTAATAGTCACCAAATCTCCATCATTATCCTTATATTTGATCAAAACTGACTTGGACGATGGAAAACATTTGCTCACAATCTCTCTCAACACTTTGAAGCCGCAATTAACTGGCATTTGGGAAAGCCTTATGTCATGATCATAAACAAGTTTCAACGGCCTCCACTGAAGTGCACATCTAGTATCCACCCACACATTGACGTAGCAAAAGACTGTTCTCTCTGGCAACCGTTATCCAGACAGCAGAAGCCCCAAGCGCAGCAAATGATGGTCGACTCTGGAGGTCCTGCTTAGCCTCCAGGCAAGGACCCAATGCAGTCCTTTATCTCCGAGCAATCTCCAAAGCATCCTTGTTATTGGGTTCAGCCCCCAAAAGAATCTGAACATCCTCCATCGCCATTTCAGACGGCCTCGAAAGCTCGAGCCCTGCGGAGAAGTGCTCGACAAAGCGTGGCAGAACCTGAATTGCCATATTACACTCAGCAATAACAGCATCATAATCAACGGGTTTCATTTGCATCAAACAAGCGGCCCTATTGCTGTGAAAGACGGCTCGGTCAGGGTGGGTTTTAGGGACAAGCTTAAGAGCATTATCATAGAGTCGAAGAGCAGAAACATAGTCATTTTGATACTTGACATTACCTTCTTCTCTGAGCTCATTGGCTCTTTTCAAGAACACAGAAGAGTCCAAGTCAACACCACCATTAAAATTATTACTGGAATTATTTTCAACTGAAACCTGGTTTGACTTTGAAACACCCTTCCTTTTCCTACCCTGATTTCCCCATAAAATGACGAAAAAATTCAAACTTTTTTATTCCCTCTATCGCTCAAAAGAAATTGGATGAAGAACTCTATTCTATTTCTGATACAAAACAGAGTATAAAATCATTGCAAACGATACTTTCGAGCCTATTAGAAACTTGGGTTCAGTGATAGAAACAGAGCCAGAGTGAGAGAAAATGATACTTACGGAGAATACATAATAAAGATGAGAGCATGCTAGCTTTCTTGTATTGAATCTGAGAAGTGGGATTCGAGTGAGAAATGAAGAGACAGGAAAGAAATGGAAAATGGGGTTTTAGACGTTGAAACCCTAGTGGTATAAGATAACCGTAGCTGTGTGAGATATCCACAGTGACAAATTAAGCCCAAGTTGGCCCTCAACTTTCCACTATAATTCGAAATCCATCGTGTTTGGATCAATGGCCCTCCCTAAATGAATGAGACGAAAAGTGGCCATCCGGTTTGCTTAAAAGCCCAAACTTCAAAGAACAATGTGGTAAATACGGTAAAAAGGGTTTTAGGTTTCAAGGTTGTCCTTTCTCATTGCCAGTAGTCCGTATCTCTGTTACGAGCCAGGCTCGATTGAGGCATCCCTCGTTCTAAAAAGAAACTTCTTCAAAGTTCAAACTGTGCCCAACTGCTGTTATTCTCTCTTTTGAGCCTTTGAAAATCAGTTCAGCCGCCATCCATTTGTTCTAACTTCTTCTCCAGGCCAGTTCCACCTTTTACTTCTTTTTCCAAGTCTTACGGCTCTGAATTCATATATATATATATATTGTTCCCAAATTTCTGTTATTTTCTCTCTTTTTTGACGGGTTCCATGCAAAGTTTGTTCTTTGGGTACTGGAATTTGTGTGTTTTGATTGATCCATACTTTAGAAAATTTGACCCCATTGAACATTATTCTTACTGTTTTATTTCTAGTATAATCTCTTCGTGTTGGTATTTTGTCAATTTTTCAACTTGTTGTAATTTGCTTTGATTCATACTTCAAACAGATTGTATTGAAATATTAGAAAGATGTCTACTGAAGCACCCACCACCATGGAAACTGAAACAGCGGCATCGGAGCCTAAACTCGAATCCAATTCACTGCCCCCAAAGCCGAAATTTGAGCCTCTGAAGGCTCATGAGATGTCGGACGGCCGAGTCCAGTTCCGGAAGGTATCGGTTCCACCTCATAGGTATTCACCTCTGAAGAAATACTGGATGGATATCTATACACCTATTTATGAACAGATGAAGATCGACATCCAAATGAACCTCAAAGCTCGTAAGGTTGAATTGAAAACTAGATTAGATACACCTGATATTAGTACTTTGTCCAAGCTTTCATGTTGGGTTTCGATGTTGCGGATGTTGTTGCGCTTTCCAGGGCCGGAGTCAGGCGTGGAGTACGACCGCTTAGAACCCAAGTTTAGAGGGCCTATTCTTAATAATAATAATAATTTTATAATTTTTAATAATTAAAAAAAATATTTTTACATAATTTAACGAATAATTATATCGTTAATCTAATAATAAAAATAGATCAATGTAAGTATTATTTTTCTTATTTTATTCAATAGCCCATGATCCCACGTGAAGCACTTTCTTATTGCACATGCTACAACAACTCAGCTTCCACTTGAAGCCAAGCAGCACATGCCTCCACCATTCTCATAATCCCACTCAAATTTTTACCTAAACTACTAAGGATTAAAAAACAAAAATAAATTTCGAAAAGTGGGGATTTCTTCACCAAATCAGAAAAAAATGGAATCCTACTCATTAGACCTTATCATCTTATCTAAGGAGAATAAATAAAAAGAGCATAACAACGAGAGGTGGGAGAAGTCGAGCGGGAAGAGAAAAAATAGATTGAAACAAAGGAAAATTCTTAGAAAAAATATATTGTAAACGCTCATATTCAAGAAATAGCAGATTCCAAACTCCAAAGGTTACATATTATTCTTTTTTTTTATTCTGTTCGAATGTATGTGTTTTTCTGATCGGTTCACTTTTAATTCATCGAGAGATTATGTTTTTTAGTTCGAATACATAACATTTTTTCCTTGTCGAGCATAGTAACGATTCATACATATATTCGAAATAATAAATATAAAAAAAAATAAGCCTAGAATTTACCTGAGAAAGGAAGGGTCTCACCGGAGTTGGGGCCGACGGTTAGGTCATAGGGAAGGAGGCCGAATAGCTTAAACGTTCTAGGGTTCTTGTATGTTGGTTTTATACGCCTAGATCTAGGTTTTGAGAGGTAGGTTCGGCGGTTTTGGGGGTGAGTAGAGGCTGCTCTGCCGTCGAGGGTTGCCGGAGTGAGAGGTATTCGAAGGGTCAGGTCTTTTTCGGGTTAGATTCGAGATTAGTTTTGGGGTTTTGGATGTAGTCATCAGCATATTTATTTCTATTTTATTTCGAATTAAACTTCAAGTTTTAGTTTATTTTATTCCAACCCATGTATCTTTAATATACTTTTTGATGTTTTTATTTTGGTGTTCATGTTATAACTATTAATATTTATGTTAACAGTGTCAATTATTAAATTGGGAATTTGGGATTTTATCTTACTTCAATGGGTTACAATTCTAATTGAATAATCCAGGTGCAATTGTTTTTTTCTTATACTTATTTATTAGAATTTGTTTGTGTTCGACTCTTTGATAAGATGTTGCCTAAAAACATTTGTCTCGAAGTGAAAAAAAGGAAGCGAGAGCAGGAGTTAAAGAGTCACAAAAAGGTGCTCTTGATAAATTTGTGTCTAAAAATGCTGATTCTCATGAAACTTTGAATCAATCAACTGAAAATTTACATATTGAAAATCTTGGAAATTCTGAAAATGTGAATGATGAAGTGAATGATCCAATTGATGAAAATGTTGAAAATTTAGGCATTGGTGAAGAAACACTTCCTCATTTGAATATATACGATCCTATAAATTAGGAGAATCTTGACAATAATGCGAGAGATATATTAGTTAAAAAAGGGCCCATAAGAGAAATAGATCTTGAATTTTCTGTTGATAAATATTATATACATTTCTCATATGAATGTTATTCTAGAAAGTTGAGCAATGGTGAGACTAGTGATAGAAAATGGTTAGCTTATTCCAAAAATATTGACAAAGTATATTGTTTTTGTTGCAAGTTGTTCAAATCGATTAGTAATGTAAGTTTGTTAGCAAATGATGGCTTAAGTGATTGGAAACATATTAGCCAAAGGCTTAAACAACATGAAAATAGCGTTGAGCATATGACTAATATGAATACTTGGAATGAATTGAGAGTAAGATTGGATAAAAATCAAACAATTGATAAAAATTTGCAAGAAGAGATTATGAAAGAGAAAGAGCGCTGGAACAAGTGTTACAAAGAATATTATCAGTTGTGAAATGACTTGCTAAACATAATCTTGCATTTGGAGGATCCAATGAAAAACTATATCAAGATAACAATGATAGTTTTCTGGGATTGATTGAAATGATTGCAGAGTTTGATGTGATTATGTTAGACACATTCAGGGTCGTGAAATTCATTATCATTATCTTGGACATAAAATTCAAAATGAGTTCATTTCCCTTTTGTCTCAAAGTGTGAGAAATTCTATCATTAAGATCATTAAAGAGTCTAATTATTTTTCCATAATTCTTGATTGTACGCCTGATGTGAGCCATCAAGAACAAATGACCCTCATAGTTCGATGTGTTAATATATTAAATAACAAAGTTAAAATTGAGGAGTTCTTTTTGGAGTTTCTAAAAGTGGATGATACATCTGGATTAGAACTCTTTAATGAACTACAAAATGTTTTGAAGTCTCTTGATCTTAATGTTGATGATGTGAGGGGACAAGGTTATGATAACGGTTCTAATATGAAAGGACAACACCAAGGTGTTCAAAAAAGATTTCTTGAAATTAATCCAAAAGCATTATACATGCCTTGTTCTTGTCATAGTCTAAATCTCACTCTTGGTGATATGACACATTCTTGGGTTAAAACTATTTCTTTTTTTGGAGTTGTTCAACGCATATATGCATTGTTTTTGGGTTCTACAAGAGATGGAAAATTTTACTTGATAATGTTCCTGGATTAACTGTGAAATATTTATCAAATACTCGATGAGAGAGTCGAATTAAAAGTGTCAAAGCTATTAGATTTCAATGTCCCCAAATAAGATTGGCTTTGTGTGAATTATATGAATCTTGTGAAAATGATGCAAAGTCAAAAAGTGAAGCTGAAAGTTTTGTGAATGCACTCTCAAGTTTTGAGTTTTTGCTTGGTGTTGTGATTTGGTATGACATTTTATTTGTTGTTAATATAGTAAGCAAGAAATTACAATTAAGTCTATGTGCATTGATACTACTATAAGGCAATTAAAAGGTGTGATGTCCTACTTTGAAAAATATAAAGATGAAGGCTTTACAACTAGTATGAATGTAGCTAAAAGTCTTGCACTTGAAATGGATATGTAGCCTATCTTTCCCACAAAACGTCGTGTGATTAGGAAGAAATTTTTTGGAGAGAATAATGAGGATAACGAAGTTGAATCGCCTGAAGAGTCATTTAGAGTCAATTATTTTTTTGTTGTGGTAGATATGTCAATTACTTCTTTGAAGAATATATTTGAGCAATTGAAGACATTTGAAAGTATTTTTGGATTTTTGTATGATTCAAATAAGTTAAAGTCATTAGACGATAATGAGTTGAAAGAATGTTGTGCTCATTTTCATTCTACCTTTTCTCATGGAAATTCATCGGATGTTGACTTAGATGATATTTTCTCTGAATTGAAAGTCTTACAAATGACTTTGCCGACAGAATTGTTATCCGCCACTGAAATTCTTAAGTTTGTCAAATCTGCAGATTGTTATCCGAATGCTTCAATTGCTTATATGATTTTATTAACTGTGTCTGTGACCGTAGCTTCAGCCGAAAGAAGTTTCTCAAAGCTTAAATTAATAAAAACGTACTTGAGGTCATCAATGTCACAAGAAATGTTGAACGGTTTAACAACATTAGCTATTGAGAAGGAGATGATAGGAAATATTGATGTTGATGTTATTATCAATGACTTTGCATCTCAAAATTCTAGAAGAAACCGTTTCTTATGAGAATTTGTGTATGTTGTTTTGTAGGTGAGAGGCGACAATTTTCGATTGAGAGAAATGATTCTAAGAGATGATTGAAGACATAATAGGAGTAAATTGAGTGAAAAATTGAGATGTCTCTTTATATATTTGGTAAAATAATGTTGGTTAATGTAATAAAATCTACTCGTATAGTTTTTAATGAAAAAATTTGTTTGACGCTTACCGAAATTTATTATTGAATTTTAAGTTATTTTTTTAAAGACCCTTAAAATGTCAGAACCGGCCCTGTGTTGTGTCCTTTGAGATCAAAGATATTAAGACGCTAAGAGGAGAGCACTTGTCTCGTGCCATTGGTAGACTGTCCGGGAAAGGCGGTAAGACGAAGTTTGCTATTGAAAATGCTACAAAGACTGGAATCGTCATTGCTGACACCAATATTTATATACTGGGATCTTTTGCAAACATCAAGATTGCCAGGGATTCTCTTTGCAGTCTCATTTTAGGTTCCCCTGCTGGGAAAGTTTACTCGAAATTAGACAAGTTACTGCCAGATTGGCAGAAAGGTTTTGATTGTTTTCGTTTATAATTTGCTGGCTTTGCTCTTAAATTTTGGATATTTATATCTGTTGTCCACACTGAATTCTTGTTGGGGGGGGGGGGAATGAAAAACAAGATCAGTAGGATATAGAGCATTTGTTTGGAGTTAATTTTGAGATATTTTACCCATGCAAACCAGCACTAGTACAGCTGTAGCAGTAAAGTTTCTGGTAAATAAATCTGCAGATAAAATGAAAAACAAGGATGGAATTTCAATTGATGAAACCAGAGTACTTCTGGTTTTCTTTTGAGTTGCAACAATTTGCCAATTGTGTATAAACAGTTCAAATCAAATGGATATTCAAGTAGACAAATTTCAATGAGTTAAAAGTTTGTCATTAACTAAAGAAATTGATGAAAATCGCAGGTGTTTGTCAGCCTCCAAAGAGAATCCCGGCAGCCTGCTCTTCGTTGCCATTGCATAATTTAAGAGCTTGTATCACCATTTCTCTTGGAAACCCCAACTCAACAAGCTTTGCAACTTTGGCTTCAAAATCGGGTTTCTGCAGAAAAACAAAGGAAGATTCTCAGATTTACATTAGTGATCAAACTCGAAGATTATATTAGAAACCGAACTGTCTTCATTTGGTTCTTGAATTTACCTGTGTTGCATTGCCTCCTGCACCTCCTGAAGCAAAAAGGAAAAAAAATCAAGAGAAATTCATATAATCATAATATGAATCACTTAAACCTATATTGTTCTTGACTATTTTTGTCATGATAACCATGTACAGGACCCTCCAAGGCTCCAACTCCAATAGCCCTCTAAATACGTGGTAAAACTGGAATGGAATGAATATATGTGTACGTAGTACAACCCGTACTCGAAACTTGCATCCGAATATAATAGCTTAAAACTAAGGTGGAATATGCCCTTACTAGCCAAACAATAAGCTTGTGGTAAAACTTGGCATGATATGAATATACGCATAAGGGGTACAAACCATACTCGACACACACATCCGAATGTAATATAGCTTAAAACTACGGTCGAATGTGTCCTTATTAGCCAAACAATAAGCTTGTGTATAGATGAACTTCTGGAGTGAAAGAAAAATGAAGCATGCATGGTAACATGAGTGAGATTCCGATTTACTAACCAGAAGACTGTCCTCCAGATTGCTCATTAGCATTCTTCTCTGTTGTTCCAGCCGTCACCTGAATAATCAGACAATGTATCCGTGCCGACGATACATATTTATTAATATGTCTATGTGTGTTTTATATTGGTTGTAGCAGATAATAGAAAAGACTTACAGCTCCTGAGCTCGATGCTTGCTTTGCATGCCTTTCTTCATCAAGGAAGCGAGAAGGGATGTCCTTTTCTGAGATGGAAAAATAAATTCAGTGGCAGGAAGACCGAAAAAAGATTATCAATGACCACGTGGTAATCAGAAACTCAGACAATTGCACAATACCCTGATTAAAGTCACCAACCTTGCAAAAACGGTACGGAAATTTCTCCTCCTCCGACTCTAAGAACATTATCCTTCAAGTCAATGATACACTGTGCAAATGTAGCATTAAGGATTATGCAAAATTACGAGTGTAAATTACAAAAATGGAGGTATATGTCACAATATTAAATAGAAATGAGGCTACCTGGTGCTTACGGAGCATATCCAATCCAAAGAGGAACTCCATATTGGGAGAGTCCAAAACCAAGAAGGAGCAAGGATAAAATATCTCTCCGATCTACGATAACATGAGAGAAACCAAGAAGTTGAATGGAACATTAAGCATGACAAGTGTATGGTTTGCATCATATATTATTCGCATGCCACTAAGAGAATTATACAAGCATAAACAAAACAAGAGATCAGTAATCGGACACATTTCATTTAAAAGCAACCAATAGACATACTACCTTGATTGGAGCAACATGTATCCGCCCTAGTATCTCGGATTGGCCAACTCCATGGGCAATACCTCTGTATCTTTGATCTAAAAGCCTGAGCAATCTGAAGGAGACGACAACAAAGCAAAACACATGCCGTTGATTTTAGTCTTATGAAGTGACAATTATAGTTGAAAGAATTTAAGGAAACATCTAATCAACATAGTTGCTGTTTTCAAGACGCAATACAATAATGTAAATCACGAAGTCCGCACCACCCCATGTAAGAGAGGAATATTTCTCTGACTATGAAGTTTCTACATAAAAAAAAGGAAAATTGTTTGCAATACATACCCACACCGCTCAGCACAGCTTTTGGAAATGATTGTCGACTGTGCACCACTATCAACAAATGCCTA